CGGCCGCCAGGTTCTCCGCCTGTCTTCAAGGCTCGTTACGTTGCTCGAGGCTTCAGTCAGCGAGAGGGAGTAGACTTCTTCCAGACCTTCTCCCCTACCCCGAAGATGACCACTCTTCGGGTGCTGCTGCACGTTGCCGCTCAGCGTGACTACGAGCTTCACTCTCTTGACTTCAGCACAGCTTTCTTGCAGGGCAGCCTGCACGAGGAGATCTGGCTGCGCCGCCCTCCTGGCTTCACTGGGTCGTTTCCTGCTGGTACCCAGTGGAGCCTCCGGCGGCCAGTCTACGGTCTCCGCCAGGCGCCACGTGAGTGGCACGACACACTGAGGACTACACTTGCGGCTCTTGGGTTCGCGCCTTCTACTGCTGACCCGTCGCTGTTTCTGCGCACCGACACTTCACTGCCGCCGTTCTACATCCTCGTGTACGTCGACGACTTGGTCTTTGCCACTGCTGACACTGAGGCTCTCGCCCACGTGAAGTCGGAGCTGCAGAAGAGACACACGTGCACAGACCTGGGTGAACTGCGCAGCTACCTTGGCTTGCAGATCACCCGGGACAGAGCACGCTGCACCATCACCCTGACTCAGTCACACATGGTGCAGCAGGTCCTTCAGCGCTTCGGCTTCACCTGGTCCTCGGCACAGGCCACTCCTCTGGCTACAGGTCACTCGCTCTCAGCTCCACCTTCGGACGAGTCCGTAGAGCCGAGTGGTCCTTACCCAGAGCTAGTTGGCTGCCTCATGTACCTGATGACTTGCACTCGTCCTGACCTCGCGTACCCTCTTGGTCTTCTGGCTCGCTACATGGCTCCTGGTCGGCACCGACTTGAGCACATGGCTGCTTCTAAGAGGGTACTGCGCTACTTGTGCAGTACATCAGGCATGGGGCTAGTGCTTGGAGGGAGGAGCTCAGTTGTTCTCACTGGGCACTCCGACGCTTCTTGGGTTGACGACCAGGCTACTCAGCGGTCGTCACAGGGTTACACCTTCAGCCTTGGCTCTGGTTCAGTTTCTTGGCGTTCTACTCGCTCGTCTTCAGTTCTCAGCTCCAGTTGTGAGGCTGAGATCTACGCCACAGCCATGGCTGCACAGGAGTTGCGCTGGCTCACCTACCTGCTGACTGACTTGGGAGAGCGGCCTCGTTCTCCTCCAGTGCTGTACGTCGACAACAAGGCTGCCATTGCCTTGTGTGAGGAGCACAGACTGGAGCACAGAACGAAGCACATCGCTCTGCGTTACTTCCTGGCTCGAGAGTTGCAGCAGCGTGGTCAGCTTCGTCTGCGTTACGTGGCCACTCAGGCCAACACTGCTGATATATTCACCAAGGCACTTCAGTCTGGTGATCATCAGCGTTTCTGCACTATGCTAGGGCTTGTGCCCACCTTCCCTCACTTGCTGTAGGCTTTGACTGTACTGTGATCTCTATATATATATACCTGCATGCTTGCTTTGCTAGATCGAGATCACTGTGTTGTTTGTGCTGCATATATGCCTCTGCATGTGAACTGGCCTTGTGGCCCTTTGCTTGTGCTCAGAGTGTGTGGTGACGTTGTAATCCACCCTGAGCTTGCTTTGTCCTTCTTGACTGGTCTTGTGACCCCTTGCTCTCCCCCACTTAGCCTATGGGGGTGTGTCAAACATTATATATGTTACTGTTGTGTAGGCTACAGTGGGTTAGCCTTTAGGGGGTACAATACTCTAGGGTTCCTACTTGTATCCCCAATGTTCCTAGTTCAATCACTTCTTGTTTCTGACAACATTGTCACGTGGCAGAGGCACCGGCTGAGCGTGAGCCAGATGTGTGCTACCATGATGATCAAGTCGTGGCAAATGCATAATATTGGGAAGACGTTGCCGATCCGGGGCACTACGACCACAGAGGCACAGTTATGCCTTGAGGCAAAGACGTTGGGCTTGTGATTGGTGATTGGTAGTGTACCCTTATAGATTTACCACAGTAATTTCTTGATCGTTGCACTTTATCTTTATTTGTGACTTATATGAATGGTGGGAGACATCATTTGTAGTTGTCTAGCAAACTTAATGTTTCTGCACTTTGCCTTCCCTGTCACCCTAAACAACAAAACTAGAAATATTGCCATAATTATTAGTACTATAGTGTGTCACAAATTCTATCACCATTTTATTTTACAATAGCTCTAAAGCTTATACACAAACATGGGAGGGTTGTGACGGACCAATTACGATGCGCGGACGGTGCAAACCTGGTGGCGCCGCCGAAGCCGATCGCAACTAATTTCGCCGCCAATAACGTGGTGCCGATGACGGTCAAGGGAGGCGTGCTACTCGGTGAGATGGGCGCCCCGCGCGCAAAGCTATGCCAGACGCAACTGGTGGGGGATGATATGAGGCCGGCAGCGCCAAAGGTGGTACGAAGGGCGCTCACAAGTCCGGTAACGGCATCAAGAAGAAGGCACGAGTGGGAAGAGGAGTGGGGTAAAAAGATTGACTGGAAGGCGGTGATGCAGAGGCGAGACTCCCTGGCCATCCCGTACAGAGCGATGCACAGCAAGAACCTGCAGGTGGGAGGGAGACTGGTGTTCCTGGGTCCCAGAGGCTGCTGTCCACACTGTGGAGAGCCTGAAACTCTAGCTGACTGCATGCTCACCTGCCCGGTAATCCAGCTAGTTATCAGCGCGCTTTTTGAGTCACTCCAAATGATAGACCCAACGAATTGGACGAGGTCGCTGGGTGACATGCTCTTTTAAGAGGGGGCCACGAGGTCGGGTTTTCCGGGGGCGACGTTGACAACGGTGACGATGCGAAGTATTTGGTTGGCCCGTGTTGGTGCGGTGTACAGGAAGGAGAAGTTCCAACGGAAAAAGGTGGCAAGGGCGGCGATCTGCGATTTCATGCGGCATGCGCGGGTCTACAGAACGGAAAATTCAAGGAAGGCAGCCCGGGATGGGGTTAAAAAGCTGCCACGGGACCCATGGGATGGTTTGGCAAGGGACGAGAGAGCGGCGGTTGCCAGAATATGCGAAACAGGAGAGCAGGCCACGTGGAGGGAGGGTTTCCTCTCCATCTGGCAGAACCCTAGAACGTTCCACCGTCCTCCGTAAAAGTAGGGAGGTGGGGGGCACCACAGCAAAGGCTGTTGGTGTTGGTCCTCTCCAGTATACAGTTACGACTTCGAATGTATTTGCATTTGTTATAGTGCATACTCATTCAAAAAAAAAAAAAAAAAAAATACAAGCATGCCCCCTAAGTGGGGCGGGTTTCCCTGACCCGACCCGACCTCGGGTCGGGCCGACCCGAGATCGGGTCAACCCTGACCCGACGCTGTATCCTCGGGACGCGTCAGGGCCTTCACCAGCTTGGCCCGGGTCTGGCCCGACCCGACCCGACCTGAGAACTTGGCTAGCCCGGCCAAGTCAGGTCGGGCCGGTCGGGACGGGTCGGGCCGCCTGCTCATGCCTAAATGAACTTGGGTACAACTACTTGGCTATAGATAGGCACAATAAAAGGCAGGTAACCCGGGTGTTACTAGAACCAGCGGGAATAGAGGCTTCCCGTATTTTGTAGAGTCGTTCGGTGAATAAAAACGCACACGCTAGGTGACGAGAGATAATTCTAGAAAACAGTAAAAACCGGTGCACAAAATCGGTTGCACTGGCATGAACATGGAGGTACGATCGATCTCCATGATCAAACCGATGCGCCGCTCAGCGATCCCATTCCGCTGCGTCGAGTCCGGCTGCGTGAACGACTGGCGGATCCCCTGCTCGCTACAGAACTGTCCTACCCCACCGGAGGTGAACTCACCACCCTCGTCAAAGTGTAAACCAAGCACAGGACGGCCTCGCTGGGTGCGGACGGCCACAATCCACAGGAGAAGAGAGTCAGGCACGTCGGACATCCGCTGCAACGGGAACACCGTGGTGTAGGGGGTGTACTCTTCCACTACTACCGTATCACCCCGGATACAAGCGCACCTGCGCTTATAATAAAATGTGTTTTTTTAGGGGGGTGCGCTTATAATTGAGTAAAAGATATAAGCGCATGCACTTATATAATGACAATTACATAAATATAATTTACACGCACCAAATTGTACATCTCAGTCGTGCGATCTCAATCGAAACGGAATGTTAGAGAGTCTGAAACCAGCGCGAGGGCGATTCACTGCCGGCGCACAGAGCATTGGCACGTCACTTTGCAGGCGTGCCAGCTCATCCTGACTGGACGCGCAACCAGTGAAACCCTCGAAAGTCAAACAAATTGGATGTGGACTCGCAGCAAAACTGATATTCGTTACCGTTTTTATCAGGAATTTAAAATAGAATTATAGATGCGCTTATAATAAATCACGATTTTACAGGGGGTGTGCTTATAATTGAGGATCGGCCATAAGCGCTTAGCTCCAGATATAAGCGCATGCGCTTATAATAGGCCTGCGCTTATATCCGGGGTGATACGGTTCTATGTGAAGGAGACGCGGGAAGGAGGGGTGACCTAGGCGGTGGTGCCACAGGAGCGACGGGTGGGTGAGAGACAGACACTGAGGTGTACTCAGTGCGCAGCGAGAATACCGGACCTAGGCTCCCGTGTGAACGTGACAAGTGGAGCCCCAGTGGTAGAGTCTGTACAGGTCGCAAACCGCTCGTGCCAAGGAAACGTGGTGGTGACACCCAGATCCTCAAGATGACCTACACTGACCAAGTTCCTAGAGAATGAGGATATGCAGATCCATGAGGGAGCGAGAAGGGACAGCATGACACGCGGACGAGTAAAATGGTCCCCTTTCTGGAGGGACAGAAAGGTTAGACGTCAAAGACTGAGACGACTATGCAAATCTAGTTTCAAAAGTGTTCCGTTGCCGGGACTTGAACCCAGGTCTTTCGGGTGAGAGCCGAATATCCTAACCGACTATACTACAACTGATGCAGCGACGATCTTGCAATATCTATTTGTCTCATAGACGTCCACAACCACCAATACTTCCCTCGCAAATCATCCTTCATTTACCAGTGACCATGTCCGCCCACTTGCTCTCCGCGGCCTCTTTCGCCTCACCACTCTCACTCGACCAACCGCCTTGCTGCCTCCGCGTTCTTTCGGGAGACTCAGGACAGCGCCGCAACCCGTCCTCACTGTTGGGACCTGGGGTAAGCGAAGCGCCCAGCGCGTCGAGGGCGGAATGGGCACGGGGAGAGTCCGCAGGCAGTGCTAGCGGGTTTCGCTCCGTTGCAGGCCGAGCGCAGTCGGGCAACTGGCGCAGCTTAATACGGGGAGGGATCTCAGCGCGGGGCGAAAGCAGGAGCAGTGCGGGACCGGGCGCTGAGCAGTGGGGGCAGAGTGCGGAGGGGCGCAGAGAGGCAGGCGGAAACGGCGGAGGGTGGTCCGACAGGGGACGGAGAGGTGGGGGACGGTCGGTTGGCGGATGGGAGAGAGGGGGACGGCGAGGCGGTAGCGGAGGATGGGGGGCCGGCGAAGGGGACAGCGGAGGTTTAAGGGACAGGGAGGGCGCAGGGCGGCAGGAGGGATCGCGCGGTGAGGGAGGGGATTGGGGAAGGCAATGGGGCGGGGGAGCGGAGAGCGCGCGCGAGCGAGGGCTGGAGGGGAGGGATGGCAGGGACGCATGGCGCGCGGACGGCGGTCGCGCGGAAAGGGGGCGGGGCGGCGGGCGCGGTGGCGGATCCTGGGACGCGCGGAGCCGAGGGGGAAGAGGCAGGGCGGGATCGTCCGCGTCGTGGGGCCGAGGGGGAAGAGGCGCAGGCGAGCGCGGGAGGGGACGGGGTGGGCAGGCGGGCGGAAGGGGGGTGTGGGGGAGGCGAGGAGAGGGGCGGTGGGGGAGCGAGGAGGGCGCGGAGGAGGAGTTACCGTCGGGGTCGTTCGTACTGCCCGACCCCGAGGCGGACGGCGGGGCGGACGGCGTGCTCGTGGTGGGGGTCGAGGGCCGCCCCCCCGCGCTCTCCCCGCGCGACCTCGTGTGGGCGCGCGCGCGCCGCGTGCGGTCGGGCGTGGTGAGCGACGCGCGGTGGTGGTCCGTGATGGACGGCGACCGGTACGTGGGGGACGACAAGGGGGACGAGGGGGCGGAGGGAGACGAGTGGGAGGGGGAGGGGGAGGAAGGGGGGGCTTTTGGGAGGGCGGGGGTGATGGAGGGAGATGAGGGGAGGGGACGGGAGGGGAGAGGGGCAGAGCGCGGGGACGAGTCGGACACAGAGGGGGAGGATGGGGAGGAGGTGGAGGTGGAAATACGGGGCCAGGGGGGAGGTTGGGGGGAAGAGGATGAGGCGGATGGGCGAGATGGCATGAGGGCAGGGAGGAGGGGCGAGGAGGGGGCGGGCAGCAGGCGGGTGAGGGGCGTGCGGCTGTTCGGGCGGGACTTTGGGCGCAGCCAGGCAGGCACGGGGGGGGAGGGCAGCGAGGATGCCAACCTGTCAGCGCGGAGCCCGCGGGTGGCAACACCACGTGCTGACGTGGCGGCCGTGAGCGATGCTGGTGACAGCAGGCAGAGGGTCGGTGGGGTGGGTGTGGGCGCCGGCAGCTCTGGTGGTGCGCAGCAGCAGCGGGGCGAGGGCGCACGGGGAGGGGGTGCGGCGGGGTGGCAGGGCGCGGAGGAGATGCGTGGGGCAGGGAGGAAAAAGCAGGAGGAGGAAGAGGAGGAGGAGGGAGGGGAGTGGGCGAGTGGCGAGGAGTGGGCGCGGTACGGCATGGAGGCACCGTTTGAGGGCATGGAGGCACCGTTTGAGGGCATCATTGAGCTGGACGGCGATGATGCATGGGGGGCGGGCGTGCACGGCAGGGCGGGCAGGCGGCAGCAGGAGGGTGGTGCAGCAGGTGGGGCGGGCGGGGGCCCCAGCGTGCTGGATGCCTTGCGCCGACAGGTGGTGCCCCGGGCCAAGGGGGGCGACGAGGGGCGGGGTGGGGGCAAGGCAGAGAAGGGGGAGAAGGGGAAGCAGGCGAGCAAGGAGGGTGGTGGGCGGGATGCAGCAGCAGCAGCAGGCAAGGCATCTGAGGGGTCTGGCACGGGCAGGGCAGCGGTGGCAGCGGCGGCGGTGGTGGCCCCGTCACAGCGGGACAACTACGACCCAGCGCTGGCGGACCAGTTCTTCAGCCGCACCTCCTTCGCTCAACTCGCCGCCTCCCCCGCCGCCCTCACCGCCCTCCAGGCGCTTGGCATCACCCGCCCCTCGCACATCCAGGTGGGCAAGTGGAATGGGTTGTGTGCCGTGGAATGGGTTGTGTGCGGTGGAATGGGTTGTGTGCGGTGGAATGGGTTGTGTGCGGTGGAATGGGTTGTGTGCGGTGGAATGGGTCGTGTGCGGTGGAATGGGTTGTGTGCGGTGGAATGGGTCGTGTGCCGTGGAATGGGTTGTGTGCGGTGGAATGGGTCGTGTGCGGTGGAATGGGTTGTGTGCGGTGGAATGGGTTGTGTGCGGTGGAATGGGTTGTGTGCGGTGGAATGGGTCGTGTGCGGTGGAATGGGTTGTGTGCGGTGGAATGGGTCGTGTGCGGTGGAATGGGTTGTGTGCGGTGGAATGGGTTGTGTGCGGTGGAATGGGTCGTGTGCGGTGGAATGGGTTGTGTGCGGTGGAATGGGTCGTGTGCGGTGGAATGGGTCGTGTGCGGTGGAATGGGTTGTGTGCGGTGGAATGGGTCGTGTGCGGTGGAATGGGTTGTGTGCGGTGGAATGGGTTGTGTGCGGTGGAATGGGTCGTGTGCGGTGGAATGGGTTGTGTGCGGTGGAATGGGTTGTGTGCGGTGGAATGGGTCGTGTGCGGTGGAATGGGTTGTGTGCGGTGGAATGGGTTGTGTGCGGTGGAATGGGTTGTGTGCGGTGGAATGGCGGAGAAGCCTGTTTGGACAGTGAGTGAGCATGAATTCATTGCTCCGTGTGTGGAGTCAAACCCTGTGCGACCGCACTGCCTTGCCCTGCATGTTCTGCGGCACCCACCGCATCAGCACCTTCTTCTTTTCCCCTCCTCGCCCTTACCCCACCGCCCTCCTTCGTCCATTGCCTACATCAACCGTCTGCTGCCTTTCCCTGCAAGCTCAACCGTCCGTCCTTCCCCCTCCCCCCCTGGCACGGGTGCATTCGGGCAGGCAGCAGCGTTCCCGTACGTGCTGCGCGGGGCGGACTGCATCATGGCGGACCAGACGGGCACCGGCAAGACACTCGCCTACCTGCTGCCGCTGCTGCAGCGCCTCAAGGCTGACGAACTCGCACGCGCGGGAGGGGGCGAGGGGGGCGGTGGGGAGGGGGAGGGGGGGGAGGGGGAAGGCGGAGGGCGTGCGGGCGGTGCGCGCATGGGAGCAGCGCCGAAGCGACCGGCGGCGATTGTGTTGGTGCCCACCACTGAGCTGGCGAACCAGGTGTGCCCACCACTGAGCTGGCGAACCAGGTGTGCCCACCACTGAGCTGGCGAACCAGGTGTGCCCACCACTGAGCTGGCGAACCAGGTGTGCCCACCACTGAGCTGGCGAACCAGGTGTGCCCACCACTGAGCTGGCGAACCAGGTGTGCCCACCACTAAGCTGGCGAACCAGGTGTGCCCACCACTGAGCTGGCGAACCAGATGTGCCCACCACTGAGCTGGCGAACCAGGTGTGCCCACCACTGAGCTGGCGAACCAGGTATGCGTGGTGTGGTGGGGGAGAGGGAGTGTGTGCACGGGAGCACACCTTGCCTTGCTAGCTAGTGCTTCGATCAATTCATTCATGGTGTCTCTCATCGTCATGCTGCTGGCACCGGCAAGCACATGGGGGGCACATGGGAGGCAGATGGGAGGCACATGTTAGGCACACGGCAGACACATGGGAGGCACATTGCTGTCCATGGTGGACGTGGTCTGTCACACTTTTCCTCTTTCCCTCTCCTCCCTTGCTGCTCAAGGGCCGTCGCTTTGAGAGCTGACTCGAGCTGGCTCTTCGCTATGCACAAATTCGCTCAATAAACAGAACGATATGAAGGCATCGAAGCATTAGAGAAATTGGAGCCGAAGCTAGGGATTCCACACGCAGACTTTGTGAAGGCATGGGGTTTTGCTCAGCCATGGAAGGATATGATAAGCCATGTGTAGCAGTGTAGATACATTCTTCATCGTGAGGTGCTTGTGGTGTTGTATGTGAAATCCACAGATACTGGATTTGTCAAGCTGTTGCAATCTATCTTTGCATATGCGTGTTTAGCGTATATACGCGTAGTGTATATACGCTAGCGTGTATATGCTGAACGCGTAAGTATCAAATTTGGGATACGCTATTCCGGGCAGGGAACAATTTCACTCGGGCAGGGTGAAAAAAGTGTACTCCGTATTCTCACTAAGGTGTCCCCTAACATTCTCCTGATTCCGAAAGGTGGGTGGGTTGGGTGGGATGTGGAGCCGACATTATCGCTTGAGAGAGAAGTAGGAGTGGACGGTAATTCTGGTGGAAGCGGGAGTGGATAGGAAATGACGAGCACTTGGGCTGGCTGGTAAGAAGCGTGAGGTTTGTTGGGGTTTTGATTTTGACAAGTTGGAGTTCGTAGGTGAGATGGGGTTCAATGCGGTAGATGAGATGGGTTTCAATGTGTAGTTCCGAAATTCAACTTTCGATTTACCAGATGTGCCTGGAGAATTCGAAGTTAGATCCCCGCTTGCCTAGACCACGGATGTGCATTTCGATTGGCGAAATGCTCACAAATCCGCATCTATTTCGGGTTTTTTTTTTTTTTGGCAGCCCTAAAACTTTTCTGATTGCGTATAGCATATTCGCAGCGTATAGCGTATAGCGTGTACACGCTAGCGTGTACACGCTAGCGTGTATACGCTAAAGCCCAGAAGCGTATATGCCAACTTAGGTCGCAATGTCTACAACACTTAGTTGTAGTCATTTTGATTGAAATCTGAAAGTCCCTTCCGAACCACCCTACCGAAAAAACATTCATAATTGCTTCCAAAATTCAAGCATATTGTATATCAAAAGAACCTGGGTGTTTTCTAAGTGTGCAGTACTGCTCAGAATAAGGAGACCTTGTGTCGTTGGATTTTTCTTGATATATTTTGCATGAACGTGCAGTCAAATTTGGAGAAGCACTGAGATGATAGATAGAGTACCTAAAGTTCTATGCATATTGATTTATGCACATGCGAATACGCAAGCATGAGCGATATGCACATTCACCAGGACGGTAACATGGCACGCACGTGTCCCTTCTTACCCTTCAAAGACCCTCGTCACCCACCCCCATCTTCCGCCCTCCCCTTGGCTCTCCCCTTACAGGTGGTGCGGGTGGCGCGGCAGCTGTCAGCGGGCGGCATGAGGGTGCGGTCGGTGGCGGTGACGGGTGGGCACCGGTGGCGCACGCAGGTGGAGGCGCTGGCGGGCGGGGTGGACGTGGTGGTGGGCACGCCTGGCCGCGTGCTGCAGCACCTCGATGCCGGCTCCATGCTGCTGGACGATGTCAAGTGGTGAGAGCATGCTGCTGGACGATGTCAAGTGGTGAGAGCATGCTGCTGGACGATGTCAAGTGGTGAGAGCATGCTGCTGGACGATGTCAAGTGGTGAGAGCATGCTGCTGGACGATGTCAAGTGGTGAGAGCATGCTGCTGGACGATGTCAAGTGGTGAGAGCATGCTGCTGGACGATGTCAAGTGGTGAGAGCATGCTGCTGGACGATGTCAAGTGGTGAGAGCATGCTGCTGGACGATGTCAAGTGGTGAGAGCATGCTGCTGGACGATGTCAAGTGGTGAGAGCATGCTGCTGGACGATGTCAAGTGGTGAGAGCATGCTGCTGGACGATGTCAAGTGGTGAGAGCATGCTGCTGGACGATGTCAAGTGGTGAGAGCATGCTGCTGGACGATGTCAAGTGGTGAGAGCATGCTGCTGGACGATGTCAAGTGGTGAGAGCATGCTGCTGGACGATGTCAAGTGGTGAGAGCATGCTACAAGGCGTCACAAGGAAGGAGAGGCCACTGTTAGTATTGTCATGCGTCTGATGCCACTCGCGCACCTCCACAACCTAACCCCCTGTCATGGTGTGCATGTGGTGTGCTGTGCGGTGCAGTGTGGTGGTGGACGAGGCGGACATCATGTTTGACGACGACGACTTCAGTGCCGCCCTCAAGCCCATCCGCATGGGCTGCTCGCGCGCATGCCAGGTGGTGCACGTGACGGCCACGCTGCCAGCGGACGTGCACGAGCAGCTGCTGCAAGAGTACCCCACAGCCGTCTCCCTCATCGGCCCCAGCCTGCACCTCACCTCCTCCGGCCTGCACGAGGTGCGCTCCCTGCCATGCCATGCCATGCCATGCCATGCCATGCCATGCCATGCCATGCCATGCCATGCCATGCCATGCCATGCCATGCCAGCACTTGGGGCCTCCGTGGGTCCACCACTCACCACGTGCCGCTTGCCGGTCACCGCTATCGCTCCTCGCAGCACTGCCTGCTTTGCCCACTCGCCAGTGTCACAGCACCACCATGCCCACCACTCGCCAGTCACAGCACCACCATGCCCACCACTCGCCAGTGACAGCACCACCATGCCCACCACTCGCCAGTGACAGCACCACCATGCCCACCACTCGCCAGTGACAGCACCACCATGCCCACCACTCGCCAGTCACAGCACCACCATGCCCACCACTCGCCAGTCACAGCACCACCATGCCCACCACTCGCCAGTCACAGCACCACCATGCCCACCACTCGCCAGTGTCACAGCACCACCATGCCCACCACTCGCCAGTCACAGCACCACCATGCCCACCACTCGCCAGTGACAGCACCACCATGCCCACCACTCGCCAGTGACAGCACCACCATGCCCACCACTCGCCAGTGACAGCACCACCATGCCCACCACTCGCCAGTCACAGCACCACCATGCCCACCACTCGCCAGTCACAGCACCACCATGCCCACCACTCGCCAGTGTCACAGCACCACCATGCCCACCACTCGCCAGTCACAGCACCACCATGCCCACCACTCGCCAGTCACAGCACCACCATGCCCACCACTCGCCAGTCACAGCACCACCATGCCCACCACTCGCCAGTCACAGCACCACCATGCCCACCACTCGCCAGTCACAGCACCACCATGCCCACCACTCGCCAGTCACATCACCACCATGCCCACCACTCGCCAGTCACAGCACCACCATGCCCACCACTCGCCAGTCACAGCACCACCATGCCCACCACTCGCCAGTCACAGCACCACCATGCCCACCACTCCCCAGTGTCACAGCACCACCATGCCCACCACTCGCCAGTCACAGCACCACCATGCCCACCACTCGCCAGTCACAGCACCACCATGCCCACCACTCGCCAGTCACAGCACCACCATGCCCACCACTCGCCAGTGACAGCACCACCATGCCCACCACTCGCCAGTCACAGCACCACCATGCCCACCACTCGCCAGTCACAGCACCACCATGCCCACCACTCGCCAGTCACAGCACCACCATGCCCACCACTCGCCAGTCACAGCACCACCATGCCCACCACTCGCCAGTCACAGCACCACCATGCCCACCACTCGCCAGTCACAGCACCACCATGCCCACCACCGCATTCCGCTGCAAGAGGGTTGGTCGAAGCACCCTCCCCAACCCCCCCCTCCCCTCCCCCCCCCTCCCCTCCCCCCCCACCCCCCCCCCCCCCTCCACAGGTGCTGGTGGACTGCTCGCAGGCGGAGGGCGAGCAGCGCTCGGAGGAGGGCGGCTTTGCACGCAAGCGGGCGGCGCTGCTGCAGATTGTGGGGGCGAGCAGGGGCAGGCGCAGGGGGGACGCGGAGGGCGAGGAGGGGGAGGGGAGTGTGGGCGCAGTGAGAGAAGGCGAGGAGAGCAGCGTTGGGTCAAAGAAGACGATTGTGTTCTGCAACAAGGTGTGCTGCTCTGCTCCTTGCACCACTCTGCTCCATTGCCTTGGCACCTGTGCTCCATTGCCTTGGCACCTGTGCTCCATTGCCTTGGCACCTGTGCTCCATTGCCTTGGCACCTGTGCTCCATTGCCTTGGCACCTGTGCTCCATTGCCTTGGCACCTGTGCTCCATTGGCACCTGTGCTCCATTGCCTTGGCACCTGTGCTCCATTGCCTTGGCACCTGTGCTCCATTGCCTTGGCACCTGTGCTCCATTGCCTTGGCACCTGTGCTCCATTGCCTTGGCACCTGTGCTCCATTGCCTTGGCACCTGTGCTCCATTGCCTTGGCACCTGTGCTCCATTGCCTTGGCACCTGTGCTCCATTGCCTTGGCACCTGTGCTCCATTGCCTTGGCACCTGTGCTCCATTGCCTTGGCACCTGTGCTCCATTGGCACCTGTGCTCCATTGCCTTGGCACCTGTGCTCCATTGCCTTGGCACCTGTGCTCCATTGCCTTGGCACCTGTGCTCCATTGCCTTGGCACCTGTGCTCCATTGCCTTGGCACCTGTGCTCCATTGCCTTGGCACCTGTGCTCCATTGCCTTGGCACCTGTGCTCCATTGCCTTGGCACCTGTGCTCCATTGCCTTGGCACCTGTGCTCCATTGCCTTGGCACCTGTGCTCCATTGCCTTGGCACCTGTGCTCCATTGCCTTGCACCTGTGCTCCATTGCCTTGGCACCTGTGCTCCATTGCCTTGGCACCTGTGCTCCATTGCCTTGGCACCTGTGCTCCATTGCCTTGGCACCTGTGCTCCATTGCCTTGGCACCTGTGCTCCATTGCCTTGGCACCTGTGCTCCATTGCCTTGGCACCTGTGCTCCATTGCCTTGGCACCTGTGCTCCATTGCCTTGGCACCTGTGCTCCATTGCCTTGGCACCTGTGCTCCATTGCCTTGGCACCTGTGCTCCATTGCCTTGGCACCTGTGCTCCATTGCCTTGGCACCTGTGCTCCATTGCCTTGGCACCTGTGCTCCATTGCCTTGGCACCTGTGCTCCATTGCCTTGGCACCTGTGCTCCATTGCCTTGGCACCTGTGCTCCATTGCCTTGGCACCTGTGCTCCATTGCCTTGGCACCTGTGCTCCATTGCCTTGGCACCTGTGCTCCATTGCCTTGGCACCTGTGCTCCATTGCCTTGGCACCTGTGCTCCATTGCCTTGGCACCTGTGCTCCATTGCCTTGGCACCTGTGCTCCATTGCCTTGGCACCTGTGCTCCATTGCCTTGGCACCTGTGCTCCATTGCCTTGGCACCTGTGCTCCATTGCCTTGGCACCTGTGCTCCATTGCCTTGGCACCTGTGCTCCATTGCCTTGCACCTGTGCTCCATTGCCTTGGCACCTGTGCTCCATTGCCTTGGCACCTGTGCTCCATTGCCTTGGCACCTGTGCTCCATTGCCTTGGCACCTGTGCTCCATTGCCTTGGCACCTGTGCTCCATTGCCTTGGCACCTGTGCTCCATTGCCTTGGCACCTGTGCTCCATTGCCTTGGCACCTGTGCTCCATTGCCTTGGCACCTGTGCTCCATTGCCTTGGCACCTGTGCTCCATTGCCTTGGCACCTGTGCTCCATTGCCTTGGCACCTGTGCTCCATTGCCTTGGCCACCTGTGCTCCATTGCCTTGGCACCTGTGCTCCATTGCCTTGGCACCTGTGCTCCATTGCCTTGGCACCTGTGCTCCATTGCCTTGGCACCTGTGCTCCATTGCCTTGGCACCTGTGCTCCATTGCCTTGGCACCTGTGCTCCATTGCCTTGGCACCTGTGCTCCATTGCCTTGGCACCTGTGCTCCATTGCCTTGGCACCTGTGCTCCATTGCCTTGGCACCTGTGCTCCATTGCCTTGGCACCTGTGCTCCATTGCCTTGGCACCTGTGCTCCATTGCCTTGGCACCTGTGCTCCATTGCCTTGGCACCTGTGCTCCATTGCCTTGGCACCTGTGCTCCATTGCCTTGGCACCTGTGCTCCATTGCCGTGCTCCATTGCCTTGGCACCTGTGCTCCATTGCCTTGGCACCTGTGCTCCATTGCCTTGGCACCTGTGCTCCATTGCCTTGGCACCTGTGCTCCATTGCCTTGGCACCTGTGCTCCATTGCCTTGGCACCTGTGCTCCATTGCCTTGGCACCTGTGCTCCATTGCCTTGGCACCTGTGCTCCATTGCCTTGGCACCTGTGCTCCATTGCCTTGGCACCTGTGCTCCATTGCCTTGCCACCTGTGCTCCATTGCCTTGGCACCTGTGCTCCATTGCCTTGGCACCTGTGCTCCATTGCCTTGGCACCTGTGCTCCATTGCCTTGGCACCTGTGCTCCATTGCCTTGGCACCTGTGCTCCATTGCCTTGGCACCTGTGCTCCATTGCCTTGCCACCTGTGCTCCATTGCCTTGGCACCTGTGCTCCATTGCCTTGGCACCTGTGCTCCATTGCCTTGGCACCTGTGCTCCATTGCCTTGGCACCTGTGCTCCATTGCCTTGGCACCTGTGCTCCATTGCCTTGCCACCTGTGCTCCATTGCCTTGGCACCTGTGCTCCATTGCCTTGGCACCTGTGCTCCATTGCCTTGGCACCTGTGCTCCATTGCCTTGGCACCTGTGCTCCATTGCCTTGGCACCTGTGCTCCATTGCCTTGGCACCTGTGCTCCATTGCCTTGGCACCTGTGCTCCATTGCCTTGGCACCTGTGCTCCATTGCCTTGGCACCTGTGCTCCATTGCCTTGGCACCTGTGCTCCATTGCCTTGGCACCTGTGCTCCATTGCCTTGCCACCTGTGCTCCATTGCCTTGGCACCTGTGCTCCATTGCCTTGGCACCTGTGCTCCATTGCCTTGGCACCTGTGCTCCATTGCCTTGGCACCTGTGCTCCATTGCCTTGCCACCTGTGCTCCATTGCCTTGGCACCTGTGCTCCATTGCCTTGCCACCTGTGGCTAACACCCATCGTGCACTGATGCACTCCTCGTTGCACTTTCTTCAGCCTCATTGAATACCATTCCTTCCTTGCCCTCACATCATTCGTTCCTTGCCCTCACACCATTCGTTCTCTTTTTTGCCTGCCGATGTGTGCGCATGTGCCTGTGAGTACATGGTGTTGGTATGTGTGTGTGTGTGTGTGTGTGTGTGTGTGTGTGTGTGTGTGTGTGTGTGTGTGTGTGTGTGTGTGTGTGTGTGTGTGTGTGTGTCCACTGCACGTGCGAGTTTATCTCTGTTGGTGTGTTGTGTGCTTGCATGTGTGATCACGTGGGTGCATGCCGGTGCATGGTTGTGAGTGTGTCGGTGCATGGGTGAGGGGGGGAGGGGCCATCAGATAGAGACGTGTCGCCGGGTGGAGAACGTGCTGGTGAGGGCGGACCGCCAGCAGCGCCGCTACAGCGTGCTCGTGTGCCACGCGGGCATCGCCCCCGACGCACGCCGCCAGGCCTTGGAGCAGCTGCTCGCGCCCAACCCGCCCCTGCCCCTCATCCTCGTCTGCACTGACCGGTACTGCCGCCTGCACCCACCTGCTCGCCCTGCCTCTGCGTAGCATTTTCTGCCTCTCTCCATCTCTCTCTATCTCTCTCAGCCTCACCCTATCTCTCGCTGCCACTCTCTACCTCTCTCTGGTGTTCAGTGTCGGCACTTTGGAGTGCCATTCCTGGTGCGGGGCCTGCACACCACTGCCCCCTCATGTTCTCCCCATCCTCCGTGTCATATCGCCCCCCCTCCTCCCCCCCCCCCCCCGTCCCCCCCTCGCTCTGCGTGCATGGCAGGGCGTCGCGCGGCATAGACAGCATCGACGTGGACCGAGTGGTGCTCTTTGACTTCCCGCGCGACCCCAGCGAGTACGTCCGCCGCGTGGGCCGCACCGCCAGGGGAGCGGGCGGCACGGGCACGGTGTATGTGTTCGTGCAGGGCGGGCAGGTGGGGCTGGCTCGCCGCATCATGACCCGCAACGACCGCGGGCTGCCCGTGCATGAGGTGCCCGACAGCTTCTTCTGATGCCACTGGTGGGGCCTTTGATGGCTTGTATTGAATACACTACACTGGCGCAAGTTATGGTGTGTTACGCAGATGAGAAATGCACAATAATTGTCTCTTATCAAAGTTACATCTACTTGGACATTGAGTAGCGACATGTGATGAGCAGAGCAGAGCTGTCTTATATAGATATTCTGGTTGCTACGTCAAGAAATGGTCTCACCCGAAAAAACATTCTCAGCTATTGTGAAAGCTTTCTTAGTCCTCTTGCAAAGGCAGCATGCTTCATTCCAGATGGTGGTACGAGGCCCTCAGATTCACTTTTAGGAACCCCGATGCATCAGGGTCGCTCTGAGAAAAAATGCTGATTGACTGTGTTCCTTGAAAAAAAAAAACAAGAGGCGACTAGGTTGTTCTAGGGTTGCGAAGCATTGTAGATGAAACTTACTCGAATTGTTGTATGAAACTTACTCAAATAGTGTAGTATGAATACAAATTGGTACTTCCTCTTACCTAAAAATCGTTCGAAACTTTCCAGCACTTGGAATCAAACTGCGGACCTTTCGATTCCAAGTACAGTTTGAAACGACTGGGCAAACACACCTGCGTTATGAGGGCAACGTATACCACAGGTTCATAGTTTTTGCGACGAATCTGTCACGCTAGTTGAGCCAGTCACGCTAGTTGATTCCCCCGCCAGTCACGCTACTCCACCTACCAATGCAAGGTGAGATCAACCTTACGATCATCTAGTACCAAGTTAGGTGATTACAAGTTAGCCTATCATTTCTTAATATCGTATCCTAGTCGTTTACTCTAGTGTTGGCTGTCTTTAAAGGATGCAAGTTGTTTAAGGTTAGGTTCTAGACTTGTTGTAAGTTTAGGTCCTTTAACAGCCTGCTGTCAAACTGCATGTTTGTGTTATCTCTACGCTATAGTGGGTTAGTCTACAAGGGGTACAACACTTTAGGGTTAGGTACTTGTACTCATGCATGCTACCTAGTCCACCATTCCTGCCTGCTTATTCTAACATGGTATTAGAGCAGAATCGTTCCTAGGGCCCACCGAACGTTCCGCCCTGCCCTACCCGTAATTTTTTTTTCTTCCTACGCTGCCCCTGCAGCCGCGCTGCCCTTGCAGCCCGCGCGCTGCCCCTGCGACCGCGCTGCCCCTGCAGCCGTGCTCGGCCCTGCGACCGCGCTGCCCCTGCAGCCGTACTCGCCCCTGCGACCGTGCTGCCCCTGCAGCCGTGCCTGCCCCTGCGACCGTGCTGCCCCTGCAGCCGTGCCTGCCCCTGTGGCCCGCGTGCTGCCCCTACAGCCCGCGCGTTCGCCCCTGCAGCCCGTGGGCGCTGCCTCTGCAGCCCGCGCGCCGCCCTGCCGAGTCGCGCGTCGCCCCTGCAGCCCGTAGGCGCTGCCCCTGCAGCCCGCGCGCCGCCCTGCCGAGCCGCGCGTTGCCCCTGCAGCCCGTGGGCGCTGCCCCTGCAGCCCGTACGCCGCCCTGTCGAGCCGCGCGTCGCCCCTGCAGCCCGTGGGCGCTGCCCCTCCTGCCCGCGCGCCGCCCTGCCGAGCCGAGCGTTGCCCCTGCAGCCTGGGCGCCGCCCTGCCGAGCCGCGCGCCGCCCCTACAGCCCGCGCGCCGCCCTGCCGAGCCGCGTGTCGCCCCTGCAGCCCGTGGGCGCTGCCCCTACAGCCCGCGCGCCGCCCTGCCGAGCCGCGCGTCGCCCCTGCAGTCTGTGGGCGCTGCCCCTGCAGCCCGCGCGCAACCCTAAACCCTTAAAAAAAAAAAAAAAAAAAAAAAAAAAAAAAAACTCGTGCTACTGCTGCTGCTGGTGGAGGTGCTGCTCGGAGTGCAGGAGGTGCGGCCGCCCAGCCCCACCGAGCCGCCCTGCTGCTGCTACTACTGCTGCTGCTGGTGGAGGTGCTGCTGGTGCTGGAGGTGCTGGACCTACTCCTGGCCGTCGCTGTCTGTCATGGCCACTATCGCGGCAGTTGTTGCGGCCAGGAGTGGACAGCAGCGGGCACTGCCTCTCCCGGACGACCCCACCCCTCAGCAGCTCCGTGAGTGGGTTGTTCAGCGAGCCAGGCCTGGTGGTGGAGGTTTTGATTTTAAGTGGCCTAAGCGATGTCGCGACTGTGCTTCTCAGCGATGCGTCCCTGGCTGTGTAGAGGTTCCGGCTCTCGGTTCTAGTGAGTCTGCTGCCGCCCCAGGTGCTAGTGAGTCTGCTGCCGCTCCAGGTACTAGTGTATCTGCCGACGCTCTAGGTGCTAGTGCGTCTACTATCACAGGTCCTGCCTCAGCTGAGGTCTTGCACACTTTCACGCTTGACTCAGGCGCATCACGTTGCTTCTTTCGTGATTGCACCACAGTCACACCACTCACAGCACCTGTCCCAGTCTCACTGGCTGACCCCTCTGGGGGCCCAGTAGTTGCGAGAGCCTCCACGGTCCTCCCTTGTCCAGCAGTCCCCTCCGGCTCTTTGTCAGGTCTCCACCTCCCCACGTTCTCGACGAACTTGGTGAGCAACGCTGCCATTCAGGATGTCTGGGTTGATACCTTTATTCCTGGAGGGCAGCGTGTGGCGATCTGTACGTGCTCCCGGACTGGCCGTCACCTGGCTACGTGTACTCGACAGCCTGGGTCTAGTCTGTACACACTGACCACTGCGTCTGCACAGGTGGCTGAGTCAGGTCAGGTGGCCGCGTCGAGTCGGGCGTCTGCGTCGGGACAGTTAGCTGCGTCCTGCTCGTGCAGAGTACTCACGCACGAGACTCAGCGCTGGCACCACCGTCTTGGTCACCCCTCCCTGCCGCGTCTACGCAGCATGCATTCCCGTCTCCTTGTCTCTGGCCTCCCCAGGACCCTGCCCCCCCTGCCGCGCTCGCTTGCCCCGCCGTGTCTTCCTTGCGTCGAGGGGCGGCAGCACGCCGCTCCTCACTCCTCCGAGTTTCCTCCGACCACCGCTCCTCTGCAGACTCTCCACATGGACGTGTGGGGCCCGGCCCCCATCGGTGGAACGAGTCAGGAGCGCTACTTCCTGTTGGTTGTTGACGACTACACACGCTACACCACAGTCTTCCCCTTGCGTCGCAAGGCGGACGTCAGCGGTGTTTTGATCCCCTGGATCCGTGCTACTCGTCTCCAGCTGCACGAGCGTTTTCAGCAGGACTTCCCAGTCCTGCGTCTGCACTCTGACAGGGGCGGTGCGTTCTCTTCTGACCTCCTTGCGGGGTTCTGTCGAGACGAGGGCATCCGCCAGACGTTCACGCTTCCGGCCTCTCCTCAGCAGAATGGGATTGATGAGCGTCGCATTGGCTTGATCATGGAGGTTGCTCGTACCTCCATGATCCATGTGGCTGCTCCCCATTTTCTGTGGCCGTTTGCGGTCCGATACGCTGCGCATCAGCTCAACCTCTGGCCCCGTGTCTCGGAGCCAGAGACCTCGCCCACACTCCGGTGGACGGGGAAGGCTGGCGATGCGTCAGTGTTTCGGGTCTGGGGCGCGCTCTCTCTTGTTCGCGATACCACCGCGAGCAAGCTCTCCTCCCGCACTCTCCGCTGCGTCTTCCTTGGCTTCCCCACTGACGCCCCGCCGTGGCAGTTCTACCACCCGCCCTCGCGTCGAGTCTTCGCCTCCCAGGACGTCACCTTTGACGAGTCGGTCTGTTTCTACCAGTTATACCCGCACGCGTCCCACCCGGTTCCCCTAGCACCCCTCTTCCTGGTACCAGTCCCCCCCCAGGTAGACCCCCTCCCCCCACAGGGTCATGCTCCCTCAGGTGTGTCTCAGGTCGACCCACCCCCCTTGGATGAGCCAGTGGAGATTTCTTCTAACTCCTCTGGCCCAGCTGAGGGGGGTGACCCAGTTGCGGACGACACGGCGGCCACTCGCCGCTCTCCACGCTTGGAGACCCCCCCAGGTTTTCCGCCTTGACCGTCTTCGCCCCCTCCGCAGCCTGCTGCTGTGGACTCTGGAGCTGAGACTACACGTGCTGAGACAGAGGGTGAGGGTTCTGGAGGTGCTGTGCCTGGGGGTGCTGGTTCTGGGGGTGCTGCGACTGGGGGTGCTAACTCTGGGGGTGCTGCGAGTCCTAGTGGCGGTGGAGTTGTGGCTGACTCTGTTGGAGGTCCTGGAGCTGGAGGTACTAGAGGTGCTTCTGGTGCTGGAGGTGCTAGAGCTACCACTACTGGAGGTGCTGGAGCTGGACAGCCACCGCAGCCTGCTCTACTTGAGACACTCTCGCCGCAGGCGATTCGTGCGTGGGTCGTTCGGCGAGGCAGTCCTGGTGGTGGAGGGTACAGTCCTGCTGGTGCTGGAGCTACTAGTCCTAGAGGTGCTGGAGGTGCTGGAGGTACTGCTGGAGGTACTAGAGGTGCTGCTGGTGCTGGAGGTACTGGAGCTGCTAGTCCTGGAGGTGCTGCTGGTGCTGGAGGTACTGGAGCTGCTGGCACTAAAGGTGCTGGTGCTACTGGTGCTGGAGCTGCGGGAGCTGCTGGTCCTAGAGGTGCTCGTACTAGAGGTACTGGAGCTGCCGGAGCTGGTGGTGCTGCTCGTGCTGGAGGTGCTACTGGAGCTGCTGACCCTGGAGGTGCTGGTGTTGCTGGTGCTGGAGGCGCTGGAGCTGGAGGTACTGGAGGTGCTGGAGCTGCTGGTCCTGGAGGTGCTCGTACTAGAGGTGCTTGAGCTGCCGGAGCAGGTGGTACTGCTGGTGCTGGAGGTGCTGGAGGTGCTACTGGAGCTGCTGGCACTGGAGGTGCTGGTGCTGCTGGTGCTGGCGCTGGAGCTGGAGGTACTGGAGGTGCTGGAGCTGCTGGCACTGGAGGTGCTGGAGGTACTGCTGGTGCTGGAGGCGATGGAGCTGGAGCTGGAGGTACTGGAGGTGCTGGAGCTGCGGGTCCTGGAGGTACTCGTATCAGAGGTGCTGGAGCTGCCGGAGCAGGTGGTACTACTGGTGCTGGAGGTGCTGGAGGTGCTACTGGAGCTGCTGGCACTGGAGGTGCTGGAGGTACTGCTGGTGCTAG